ATCCCCCCCCCCCCCCCGTTTGAAACATTCTGGATCCACACTTTATCACACTGCACAATAATTTCTCACAAGGACTACAGTGTGCAGCAAAGACATTCAAATAAAGTGCAAAGATGTCCTTCAGAAAAATAATGACATGGTAACCATAACATCCACAATGATTGCCTCCTCAACTTCCCCATTCAACAATGTACATGATTGCCACCTTTCCCCACTCATTCAACACCGTGCGGAGCACGAGTATATGCTAGTATAAATAATTTTTGAACGTTGAAGAGAAGGAATCTGCGAGTGTTAAAAAATAGGTGCCTCAAAACTGGGATTTGCACCTGTGACCTTCTGCTGTCTATGCTGACGCCTTAACCAACTAAGTCATTGAGGCTTTGTTGGAAATTCAAATCTGATTAAAGCATCATCACACTCATGCACATGCGTAGTTGGATAAGTCCTTGATGCATGACAAATAACAGAGATCAATGTGATATGCCCTCTTCTTAAGCATTTGGCAACAAAGACACACACACATACACACACATATATGTGTATATATATATATATTTACATATGTATATTATATATACATATATATATGTATATATATATATTTATACGACTATATACTAATAAATAATAATAATAATAATGATAATACTAATAAAATATTGTATACTAATGTTAAAAAGGGGAATTCTGGGAGTGGAACCAACTGCACCATATTTCTCATTGCACAACAGATAACATACCAATACACCTTTATTTTAAGCATTTCAACGACTAATGACCTTTTACATAAATTATGGTACAGAAACAAACTCAAAGCCGCCATGCGTGAATGCTATAATTATATTATTTGTATATTTTATCCTCTTAGATTATATTGTATACAGACGCATTAATTAACTGGGGCACTGGGGCTAGTTGGATATTTGAAATTAATTGGAGACAATTGATTTCACAAAGATTGGGCGATTTCAAAATGCGTCAAAGTTTGGCACATCCAAGATAATCTGCGGTTCTTACCTGCACAACTAATCACAGCACAACGTGTGGTTATGGCATTATCAGATTGCCTCCAAAATGTAGACCCAGTTGTTGATGGTGACAAAGTTGCACAGAAGTACCTATACATCCCACCAAAGCAGCTCACAAGTGAAAGGTCTAATGACGTGGTTATATCGTTGAAAGTCGAAGCGACTCCGTCACGAATGTCTAATGCACTCTGACTGGACGTCAACTGAGCATTACTAGTCGCGGCCGAGTTTGATCCTGCTGGATTGTCAGAAAGAAAGATCTCCACTTTGTATCTGTCATCACCAGCACGGTTGACTACTGAAGCAGAGCCATCCTCTGGAGTAAACGTCAAATCAAACTGGATGTCCTGTGTTCGTTTGTCGATGACGATGCTATCAGTAGGAATATCAATGTTGATTTCATCAACATTGAGGGCAGTTATTGCTGACAAAAGTAAAATATATACAATTAAAGTAAATATGTGGGAGATAATGAAAATAGATAGGCAACTGCAATTTATTTTTCAATTTTTCGGCCAAATAAATGATATACATATTAATACTTACATGTGCATACTATTGGAACGCATGCTTGATTCATGGAAGCTGGAGATGCACACCAGGTGTTTGCGCAATGATCTGATGGACCAAAGACCACACACAGATGAGACAGACCAGATGAACAGGCTACATTTTTAGCATCAATGTTAAACACAATTTCGTAAAATCTAACCATAGTATTATCTTCTAAATCGACAGTGTACTTGTCGGTTGGTATTACGCCAGTTGTGTAAGCTACGGGATTACTTCCTGCACTATCTGTAGCTAGGAATGAAACCACCTTATATCTGTCATCTCCACTACAAGAATTCACCACTTGTGATGTACCGGAGCCCGCAACAACATACAGGCAAAGTAAAAACAAATTGTCTTTTCCTTCAACCACGTGGGACGAACGTGGGAAATCAATCTTCAATTTCAGTGACAGATCAACGGATGCTATGCCAAAAAAAAAATATAAATGTAGTTAAGAATGTAACACCCTACTTTATTTGTCAAATTTGCAAACTTGTTTTTAATTTGGTTACTTGAAATACACAAAATTTAAGTATATCTATACTTAAATTTAAGTAAATCTATACTTAAACATAGGCTTTGAAGAGGGACATATGGTATAAACACACTTTAGCATACATGTTATTTTTGTTAAATAACAACGATTATTAAGCAATGTTTTGATATTAAGATACTCACATTTACATATAAATTGCGTGCATGCAATGCGTCTTGCCGAATTAGCTTGATCCCATGTTTTACGTCCCTCAGTAGAAGGCCCAAGATCAATGCATATATATTGCAGTTGGTCATCAAAACAATCTACGTTTGTCAGATCAATTTCAGCCTGGATGTTTTCGAATGTTTGCTGGACGTTATCTTGAATATTAAGTCGTCTTTGTGCGATTGTCAATTCTGAAAGAGCACTACTGGTTGGATTGGTTCCCTGAGGATCCCTCGATAGGAAGACAATGATATCATAGCGATCATCACCAGCACTATTGACAACATCAGCAGAATCTTCAGATGGTGTAAATGTTACATCCAATTGGACGCGTCGAGAACCACCGTCTGACAGCACGGTATCTTGTGGTGTTCCAATGACAACCTTGTCTACATTTAGTTCGACCAAAACACCTGTAAGTTAAATGACAACTGCTTGTGTCAGTAATTAAATATATATACATACAGTAATATATGGCAATGGAGTACCTTTTATTCTGAACATGTTGTGTAAACGAATACTCACGTTCAACGACTACACTGAATTCGCATTCTGCGGCGTTTCCACTTACATCAGTGGCTGTACACACAACACGGGTAACACCAACAGAGAAGATTGAAGGAGAAGTTACTAAAGAACCACCAGAATTACAAATGATGGCAATGCTTCTGCCAGAGTTGTCTTGAACGGACGGCAGCGTGAATGTAACCGTTGCTTCGTTAGAACCACGTGCTTTAACGGTAATGTCTGACTGACAATTTGACAGCACTGGATCTTCATTATCTATTAAAATATATTGATTAAAAATATAACTACACATAGAATGTAAAATGGAAGATGTCATCAAAAACGTTTACCACGATTACACTGTAAAACGAAGGAATACAGAACATGTCCTCATACCTACAACAGTTACAGTAAATATAACCGAGTCTGTATTTCCATTGTCGTCGGTTGCTCTGCACGCAACTGTAGTCTGACCGATTGGGAAAGCAGTTTCTGACTTTGGTTCACATACAATTGTTGGTTCTTTACCGGAATTGTCGGTAGCTTCTGGATTTGGAAATGTTACTATAGCAGTTGGTGAATTTGGATCCGTGCCTACAATGATGTTATCAGGCTGTTGGATGTTGGGTTTCTGATTATCTAATCGTAAGAACAATGGATGAAGTTAAAAGTTATGCAGCTGTGTTGGATTTGAGAATACTTGTCTACTTTATCATAATATACACCGGAAATGTATAATGATGATGAATATACATACGATCTTCGCCGAACGCCTATTTGTGTAAAGTTATACTGTAACAAAATGTATATAATTTACCTACAACGGTTACAGTAAATGTAACCGAGTCTGTATTTCCACTGTCGTCGGTTGCTTTGCACTCAACTGTATTCTGGCCGATTGGAAAAGCAGTTTCTGACTTTGGTTCACATACAATTGTCGGTTCTTTACCGGAATTGTCGGTAGCTTCTGGATTTGGGAATGTTACTAGAGCAGTTGGTAAATCTGGGTCCGTGCTTACAATGATGTTATCAGGTTGTTGGATATTGGGTTTCTGATTATCTAATTGTAAGATCAATGGATGAAGTTAAAAGTTATGCAGCTGTGTCGGATTTTAGAATACTTGTCTACTTAGTTTATCATAATATACACCGGAAATGTATATTGATGATGAATATACATAGAATCTCTGACGAACGCCTATTTGTGTAAAGTTATACTTTGACATAATGTATATAATTTACCTACAACGGTTACACTAAATGTAACCGAGTCTGTATTTCCACTGTCGTCAGTAGCTTTACACTCAACTGTATTCTGGCCGATTGGAAAAGCAGTTTCTGACTTTGGTTCACATACAATTGTCGGTTCTTTACCGGAATTGTCGGTAGCTTCTGGATTTGGGAATGTTACTAGAGCAGTTGGTAAATCTGGGTCCGTGTTTACAATGATGTTATCAGGTTGTTGGATATTGGGTTTCTCATTATCTAATTGTAAGATATATGGATGAAGTTAAAAGTTATGCAGCTGTGTTGGATTTGAGAATACTTGTCTACTTTATCATAATATACACCGGAAATGTATAATGATGATGAATATACATACAATCTTCGCCGAACGCCTATTTGTGTAAAGTTATACTTTGACATAATGTATATAATTTACCTACAACGGTTACAGTAAATGTAACCGAGTCTGTATTTCCACTGTCGTCGGTTGCTTTGCACTCAACTGTAGTCTGACCGATTGGGAAAGCAGTTTCTGACTTTGGTTCACATACAATTGTTGGTTCTTTACCGGAATTGTCGGTAGCTTCTGGATTTGGGAATGTTACTATAGCAGTTGGTGAATTTGGGTCCGTGCCTACAATGATGTTATCAGGCTGTTGGATGTTGGGTTTCTGATTATCTAATTGTAAGATCAATGGATGAAGTTAAAAGTTATGCAGCTGTGTCGGATTTTAGAATACTTGTCTACTTAGTTTATCATAATATACACCGGAAATGTATATTGATGATGAATATACATACAATCTTCACCGAACGCCTATTTGTGTAAAGTTATACTGTAACAAAATGTATATAATTTACCTACAACGGTTACAGTAAATGTAACCGAGTCTGTATTTCCACTGTCGTCAGTAGCTTTGCACTCAACTGTATTCTGGTCTCTTATACACATCTAGATGTGTATAAGAGACAGGGAATTGTCGGACATACAATTGTCGGTTCTTTACCGGAATTGTCGGTAGCTTCTGGATTTGGGAATGTTACTAGAGCAGTTGGTAAATCTGGGTCCGTGTTTACAATGATGTTATCAGGTTGTTGGATATTGGGTTTCTGATTATCTAATTGTAAGATCAATGGATGAAGTTAAAAGTTATGCAGCTGTGTCGGATTTTAGAATACTTGTCTAGTTTATCATAATATACACCGGAAATGTATATTGATGATGAATATACATACAATCTCCGACGAACGCCTATTTGTGTAAAGTTATACTTTGACAAAATGTATATAATTTACCTACAACGGTTACAGTAAATGTAACCGAGTCTGTATTTCCACTGTCGTCGGTTGCTTTGCACTCAACTGTAGTCTGGCCAATCGGGAAAGCAGTTCCAGATTTTGGTTCACATACAACTGTCGGTTCTTTACCGGAATTGTCGGTAGCTTCTGGATTTGGGAATGTTACTACAGCAGTTGGTGAATCTGGATCCGTACTTACAATGATGTTATCTGGTTTTTGAATGTTGGGTTTCTCATTATCTAAAATAAAGTCATTAATTAAAAGTTTAGAATGCTTTTGAATTTTTTTTTTAAATGAGATAATATATAGGTTAGGTAATGATGTTCTATTTACTTTATAAAACTATTTTTAAAAGTTATTGATTTCTTTGTTTTCAAGAATGCCGTTGGTTTAGAGAATAATGTTTATTACCCTTTACGTTGATGACAAATGTACAGACTTCCGAATTGTCACTGGTATCTGTAGCTGTGCAAGTGACCGATGTGGAACCAATCTTTACTTTCATTGGTGACTCGTATGTGCAATCAATTTGCACGTCTTTTTTCGAATTGTCTGTTGCAGTTGGCGTGAACTCCACAGACGCAACACTGCTTCCAAAATCGGTATTAGTTTCAACATCACCAGAACAGGTAAGCTGTGGCCCCTCATCATCTATATGATATTTACAATGATAATAATTCATTGATTGTCAATTATTCATATCCAATTATGAATACCTATGAAAAATGTTGAAAAATTAAAATGATTAAAATATGGAAACATTAAAAATGTGAACTAAACCAACAAGATACTATTGTGTATTCTGATGAAGGAATTACCTGTAACTCGGATCATAAACGAACAAACTTCTTCGTTGTCACTTCTGTCTCTTGCAATGCACGTGACTAAGGTCTCACCCATGCCACAGTCTAATACTTCCGGATGGTCACATGTGATAATGATATCAGCATTTCCAGCATTGTCAGTTGCAGTTGGAAGCTCGAAAGAAACTTTTGCCGTACTTTTACCAGGATCGGTTGTGGTTGATATATCAAGTGAACAGGTAATCTTTGGTTTTTCAGCATCTGGTGAATTATAAACAGAAGATCGGATTCATATTATGTGCGTACAAGTCTACCTAACTAGCTGATATTTATTTAAATAAAATAAAGTAATTAGCTTCATTAACAAATATTTTACAAGGAAGGGAGTCAAACCTGAACATTCTGTAAGTAATCAATGGAGTGTTTGTTTGTTGAGGAAAGTTAATGGCATGATGTTGTTCATGATAAAATCCAGGATTATCAGGTCAGCATTTTACCTGGGCAGGTTCTACTGCAATAATATTATAATTATTATTATAATATATTAGTTTAATAAATTGAATATATGAAAAGTTTTTTTAAGAACGTAGTACTACTTACCTTGAATGGTTACAGTAAATGTGATCTGCTCTGTATTTCCGGAATCATCAGTTGCAGTACATGTAACCTCGGTACTACCAATTGGGAAGGAGGATCCAGACGGAGGTTGACATACTGCAGTTGGGTTTGTACCGGAATTGTCTGTTGCAGTTGGTGTTCGAAAGGTCACGATTGCTGTGTTTCTCCCTGGATCAGTATTTTGAAGTATGTCAGATATTGGATCTATCTGTGGTTTTTCATTATCTACGGTATTGAAAGAAGATAAAAATTTAATCATCCAAAAATATATACTGTTATGCTATTTATAAGATATTTCTACTTCAGACGTATTTTGTGAAGTAAGTAAGTAACTTTATTGCTTCTCTTTTATAACAGAGGCATAACCGTAAAGATGTGCAACAATAACAAAATCAGTAAAAACTTAATTACTGTGATAAAATATAGTAAGAAAATACTGCGGTAGAACGAAATATATATAAAAAAGGGTTTACAAAAATAGTAATAGAGATAAAAATAAATACTAATACTAAAAATATAAGTAAGTAGGTTAATACATACACTTATCTGTATATATATATATATATACATATATATATATACACACACACATGCATACATATACATACATACATACACACACAATACATACATGCATAGACACACACACATACACACGCCCCTCACACACATATTCACACATACATACATACATATAAACATACATACACAAACACATACATATACATAATTATATACATATAACAGAGTAAATATTGTAAATTTAATTCAATAACATTAAAACCAGACATATTAGTCTTGCAATAGAAAAGTATTATATATATCATTTCGTTCTTTCCAAGCCATCATTAAAAGTAATTTACAATGATTATCAAAAACTTTACTCGCAATAGTATAATTAATAGGGTTTATACAATTTGTCATACATTGTCAAAATATTTATTGTTATTACCTTCAACAGTTACAGTAAACGTAACCGAGTCTGTATTTCCACTGTCGTCTGTTGCTTTGCACTCAACTGTAGTCTGGCCGATCGGGAAAGCAGTTCCAGATTTTGGTTCACATACAACTGTCGGTTCTTTACCGGAATTGTCTGTAGCTTCTGGATTTGGGAATGTTACTACAGCAGTTGGTGAATCTGGATCCGTACTTACAATGATGTTATCAGGTTGTTGGATGTTGGGTTTCTCATTATCTAATTTGTTGAAAAAACGAAGGATATTTATAGTTATTCAGCATTAACAGTAACAATCTACATATTTGATAGGCCTATCTTCTATTTACTTTATAAAACTATTTTTAAAAGTTATTGATTTCTTTGTTTTCAAGAATGCCGTTGGTTTAGAGA